CCCCCCCCCCCCCCCCCCGCGAGCGCACTAACCTCTAGGCAATGTCCGTGCATCCCAAAGCGCTTGTGTACGTCACACCGGCGTGATTGCCATTGCTGTGGATCCCCCCCCCCACCCCCTGCGAGGTCTGTGGTCTACCGACTACGGCGTGCGTTTGCATGAGTACAATTCCATTTTGACGTGAACCTCGACTCTTGTCCACCGTCCTCCAGGTATGAGTTTAAGATGGTGGCCCACGCGTCCAAGGGCGACTTCAAGGAGTTCCTCTCGCGGCTCCGAAGGAAGGCCGCCTGGCCGCCACCCTCCCCGGCGTCCTCGCCCTTTGTGTGCATGGACGACAAGCGGTCCGGAAAGCGGCAGCGGCAGATGCAGCACCCCTCCTACTACGCTAGCGGATATGACCAGGTCTGCGGGATGTTCTGACAGGCGTCCTGCTGCTGTGCACTGCGTACACGGCTTCAGACTCCTCCTCACAATAGAGGCAGCCCGATTTCTCGGGCTGTGCCCAATTCTTGCAATAGAAGCCCGATCTTCGGTATTGACGCCCGATGTCTCGGGCTTGAGCGATCGTGATCGCTGAGAGTGCACGAAGCGTTCCGCGTTAACCCGCGAATTACACCGCTTACACCCGCGTGGACGAAAATTCCCATGGAGGGAAACCCGGATAAGTCAACGATATCTACCGAACGTGGTCCTACAACAGCGAATTTGGATGTGCTTTTTGAGTATCATGTTCGACGATTTATTGATGCGAGTGGTTGTTGTCATGGCTGATCCCGGCCAGTCGAAGCACTCGAGGCGAATAGGCGCTCTTCCGCTAGGTGTATCAGCCCCAAGACAATCGCCGTGTGCTTCTACATAGACCTCGTTCCAACGGGGCTCAGAAAAATTGGTGGAGGTCTCGGAAGGGTGAGGGGGGGCGTAGGGGTGGTGGGAGTCAATTCGAGCAGTAGGTGATACTGGTGTTTCGGGAAAATCATTAAGAACATGTAGGAAGCGACGGTGGCAGATGTGCGTGGACAATGGACCGCAAAGCGGTCAGGTTTATGTAACCTGGCCTGTTTTCTCCCCTGCTAGACGAGAAGTTTGTTTCCAGCACCCGATATGAGGAACGAAGGTTTGGAGGAATGCCAGTATTTGGGGGGGGCTCTGCTGAGTCGAAAGAAGTGGTGCTAGAGGTCGCCATCGCAGCGGGCCTCCCGAACAGGAATACCAACGCCTGCTTGCGCAGGTAGAAGTGGTGCCGACCGTGACAGGGCATGGCGGCCAAAAGCTAAGGAGCTCGAGCACATGTTGAGCGGACACAATCAAAATTTATGTCGGCGGCGTGTGATGTTGGTGCACGCGGCTGCACTGAAGCAGCAGCAGGAGTCTCTTGTTGGTATGATCTGCAGTGATCGCCATCCTTGCAATATGGCAGCAATGTAATATGTCAATCGGACCGTGACTTGTTGAGCAGTGTCGGGGAGGCGTCGCTGGGCCTTGAAGGCGGCTTTGTCGAGAAAGCAGGTTGAGAACCACGTCCGGGCAACATAGAGTTGGGTCTTCCTCGCATCAAGGGTCGGGCGTCGATTGGGCGGCGTCGTCGACACTGGATAGAAGTCGATACCGGGCCAAGAGCCAACGCCACCACGTGCCACATGTGTTTTTCGTTCGACGGTTTCACATCTTGGGTATTTTGGGATGCAGATATTGTGGCACATGCGCGACGACAGTCTACATGTAGGTCTAGATGTGCTGAGGTGACAATACTGGGGGGTCGGAAGATTTGATCTCTCGGGGGTGGTCGGTAATAGTTTGCTTCGTGAAAGGAGATGCTAGCGGGGGGCGAGGAACCCAATACGGCCTTCTGTTGTGTTTCGGTGTGCGATAGGGCGACCTGAGCCGTTTAGCCTTGAATGGACAGTCCAAGATGTCTGTGTCGAGCACAAGGTTTGGTGTACCGTGTTAACTAGTGGATGGATATCTTGCGGCGGTTGACGTACTCGATGGTGGTGTGCGTATCGCAAGTGAGGTTTGCCATGATCGGGACGCCTCTCCAACCAGCTGAAGAAGTTCAACAGTCATCTCTCGGGCATCGTATGATACTTGCATGCAACAGTTGATGATTGCGTACGGAACGGCATGGTGCAGAAGAAGGCAATGCGCACAAGTACACACGACAGTATCACATTTTCGAGGGTACCAGCATGATCGTGTCACCAAATTCGTTTGGAATACGAACCTCACGGCAAAAGCTATTGGGTTGCGTGGACGAGAGTCATTCGTTAGCTCACCACGAGGCTCAATTCGAAGGGCAATCTTTCGTCGCGCTCGCCAGAGCCAAAGTTGGTGCACGACTTCAACTTACGCGTCATTGCTCGTTGCGGCCGAGAAAAAACGGAACCGAATGTGTCGTAGTTCAAAGGGTCTCTTTGTGTCCGTAGTGGCGGAATCAACCCTTCCTTGTTGTGCGAGTCGGCATTTCTCTAAACGATAGTGGTGAAGAGGTTGAACAAGCAACGAGGGCGTTCTTTGGTGAAAGTAAAACAACTAGCTGACAATAAGCGGACTTTGCGGAAGACTGTCAGCCGTAGATTGTTGCTGCTGGTGTTGTTCTTGTGGTGATAGCGGCCACCGCTCATCCCAGTCGATACGCGAGGCCGAAGAAAATGAAACAAACCAATGTAGGCATATCTTCTATCCCGAATATCTAGTATTCTCACATGATTCTGTCCTTCCTTGTGCCCCTCCTAGGCCGCGGTGTATTTCACCTCAGGATTTCGCACCGGTTATCATGTACTCCCCCCCCCAGGTGGGGAGGCAAAGTTCAAGGCACTGGCGATACCTATTTCCTTGCGTCATTCTTTAACAAACCAACACTGCATGCTTACATGACTATCATCCACGCGCACAGGATATGTTTGTGCTTCGTTCATCGGAATATTCCACGTCAGGTCAGGTCGTGGCCAAACTACAGAGAAAAGTGCACAAAGAGCTGAACGCGCTGCTTCTTCTAATGCGGGCTCAGCAAAAAGCTAACGGAAAGCGCACCAGACGTCATCGAAGTCGCCGCGGGAATGCGGCCACGAAGAGGTTGTAGCCAAGATGTGATGAAGCGGAAACGTCTTCCAGGGAGATGGTGGACCGAATTTCTGACGCGACGTCAGCGGGACGCCCACCAAGGAGTAATATGGAGGGCCAAATACCATCCCTGGTGCTTTGGGTGATGGGCCGAAAATCTGCATTGAGGCCCGGCTTGATGGACTCTTCCACCGTCAGCGCCATTGCCAAAGGGAGATGCACGAGTCTTCCCGGGCTTCTGACACTCAACCACTCAGCGATGCACCCGCGATTGACTATAGAGACAGGATCGATGTCGATGAAACCGGTGACCGCTGGGAGGCCGCGGTTGTGGGCGAAACCATCCCCGGAAACAGGTTGAGCTCGTACGAAAGGAAAGTCGGGAGATGAACGGCCGTACGCGTCCAAGATCAAGTCGTACAGATTGGTGATCTGATGCCATCTTGCATTGAAGATGAGAGCGTGTCGCGACGCGGATGATCCTAAAGGGTGATGTTTCTGCCAGAAGCGACTGTTGTTCGCGGAAACACCTGCATGAGTGTACCCCCTCCGACACCGACACCCCATTCAAGAGCGTGCCGCGGAAATAGACGCCAAAGACTAGACGTTGCGCTCAATTGTCCCGGGTGGGACCCTGATGTCGGGGAATCGGACTACCAGCCCCGTCATATTTTTCGATTCACCAAGTCGTATATTGCATACCCAAGAACCTTCAATCGACCATGTGCATGTTGCATCTGGTGATTCGCCACCCACAACACTGAAGTATCTTCGGGCTATTGCACATCGTGCATTATTAGTTGGCAGTCAAAATCTCGTACAGGATTTGCATGGCCATGGGCAACATATATCTTGTCCTCAAACTCTACAGAAACGTTTTGTTCGGGGTAGGATTGACGTTGTTCAACCTGCGCCGCCGCGAAATCCCTTTCTCGTCGCTTGAGCACACATCCCCGTAACGTCAAAGATATTAAATTAAACCTTCAACGCTCCCATTCCGAAAACGGGCCGGTTGAATTGGCGTTATTGGTCACATACAGAAATTACACCGAAAACTGTTCCTCCGTGGGAGGGGAGGGGGCGGGGGTGCGCACTCTTATGTTTTGCATGCCTTAGCGGTTAGACCATTGACCACGCATCCTCGAGAGGACGGAGCATTGTTCCCACGGAACCGATCACCGATGGCCAATCATTCCTTCCTACTTTGCCAAAGGTGGCTCAAAAATGTCTCCCCTAGTGTATCTTTCCTTCCGATATCACTTCCCGCCTTTTCAACCCACTTTCTATGCCCCAGTATAGCTACCGTCTTCTCCTGGCTATGCCATGCCTCAAACATCTCCCTGTATCTTCTTTTTTTTCCAAGCTCAGTCATGTACACTTCCCTCTTGTTGTACAACCGACATTCCGCAACGGCATGAATTTGTCGCCTTCATCGTCTACCTTCCTATATCTTCGTCTACGTTCTCGAAGGCCAATGTCCCCGGTCCTGGATTTGACCTTCAGCTTTGTCCCTGCAACGGAGCGGGGGGAGGAGGGGGGTGTACTCATAGTCGTGCATGCCGAAGTCGTTAGACCATTGACCTCGCATCCCTACAAAACCGGGATGGAGCACGCCGGGTTCTCACCGGACCAGGCTCTCACATCACCAAGCGCGAAGCGCCGTGAGATATTCGGCGAGTCGCATGAAGGGTGCGCTGCATCCTGCTAAGGGTGTTCGGCATCTTGTGCTTACTTCCTTGCGTACGGATGACAGCTGCGTATGACTTAATTTATTTTCTGGTGCTTTCACTTCCAGAGACAGTTGTAAGCACTGTGTAACTGCCTCGAGGGTGCTTGACCATTTTAACACAACGTGGTGCGATCATCCCCCTTGCGCGGAGTGAGGGTTCTCCACCCCGCACAACATGATCTACTCGACCACCATTATGGTTACCGCCAAAAAAAAGACGGAGGTAAAAAAAGAAAAAAGGTAACCTGGTTGCCGAGTTCACGAAGTGAATTGGCTTGTTTTACAACGTCTTTGCCAAGCGACGAAAACCCAATCCCGATGGCAAACACTGAGGGGACAGGAGAAAAATTCCTCCTGTCGTACGAAACGTATTTTCTCCGAAAATCAGCAGATCTTGGGGAACAACCAGGTGATGAATATTTTTCGTCCCCTCCCGGGGATGGTTCTAAACATCCCCGGGACATCCATAAAAGACACCATGCAGTACGCATACTTGGCATGATAATATGAAAAAAAATCCAACACATAGCGCGGGCTGCGCCCGAGGCCAAGGAGTGAGGTGGTCGCCACACAGCGCGGAATTGAGGGTTCGAGCCCCCGTCGTGTCGAACGAAACACAAAAGCAACGAAAAAAGGGGTTCAACGCCATCCGCGAGACTTTCAAAATTCCAATCGTGGAAGGGGTTACGAAGGCAGAGTATGATGGAAACCACAGCCACCCTGTGTTGTATGAAGTATATTCCAGAAACCAGAGCAAATACTCCCCTTTTCCTCCTCACTTACGCCTTTACTCTTTGATCTATTGGCGTTTGAAGAAAGCGTCTACGTGAGAGTAGGCGGCACATGCATCGCATGAACAAAAAACATCGACATCTCCCGTCTTTTGCTTGCGCCTCTTTGCTCCACCTTCGTGATCCTTCTCGTCTCGGGGTTCGTGTGGCTCTGTGCACGGCATAATTGGTTAGTTGGTGCCGTCGCACTTTCTGACCAGAAAGACCGAGTCAGAGGCGTGGGAGACCCTAACAGGCACCGCAACATTAGCCGGCTTCGGCAAGGCGCCGGCAAGAACAGCGCCAAGATAGTATACGATGTGCCAGAGACATGCCAGGCGGCCACGAATGCGCTGCCGCCGCCCCCGACAAGAGCATCTAGGGACATCTGGCGCAGGCAACACCATGGCTCAGGCGCGCGGAGTGTCTTGAAGCGTTTTTTATTGTCGGTGGTAGGGGCGGCGGCAGCGGCAGGGGTCGAGGCCGAAACCACATAGCTTGCCTTCGAAAGCTCTGTCGTCCAGCTTCTTTCGGTATCTCTCGTGGTGTACGAAGGCGCGCGCTCCAATGACCCGAAGTCCCGAGAGATCAGGTGACTTATTACGCAACTTCGAGTATGGCGTAGCTCCTCCCAGTGCTGAGTGTGGGGACCTGTTCAACAGGTATGCTGCAGTCAGCATTAACTCCCCCCACATGGACGGCGGAAAATCTCCATCCTTCAGAAGACACCGGGTGACTCCGGCCAGGGTTTGTCCGTCCCGTTCCGATACACCAATTTGTTGAGGGGTGTTGGTGGCGGCGTATTCGAGCTTGATAGCTGAATTCTTGCAGTAGTCCCGAAATTCGGATCCGGTGTTCTCGCCTCCCTTGTCGCAGCGGATGGTCTCGATCCGGTAGCCTCCTGCCGCTGCGACGCACATGTTGTACGTGTGCACCGCCTCGGTCGTGTCAGATTTCTTGCGAAGCAGGTACACTTCTTTCATCTTCGTGTAGTCGTCGGTGACCTTGCACGCGTACGGGAAGGAGCCGCCTTTATATTTCGCAGGTGGATTTACAGGCCCCATGTTGTCGATGACCACAAGCTGTCCAGGCCGTGACAGTTCGCGAGTCGATTGCTTCGGGTGGGGGGACTGCTTGTGTTTCGCGATCTGGCAGACCCCGCAAGGGGAGAGACTGTCGCGATAGTCCACCTCTGTACCCGTGTCCTTCCGAAGGATGTCCAGGCTCCGAGCATTGAGATGTCCAAGCCTCCTGTGCCAGGTGTCCGCGCTCACTAGCGTAAAGCAGACGGCGTTCGCCGTGTGGGTCTGTGACTGCTTCTGGTGGGGCACGAGGGATTTCGTGCCAGATGGCTGGACGTTCTGCTCGAACGTGATGTCGAGGGTGCACATGCCTTGGTCTCGCGGATCTTGTGTGAGTGGAATCACCTTGCCTTGGATAGTGAGGTGCGGAGTGCTCTTTTCGCCGACGCAGCGCAATCCCCTTTTCAGGAGGGAGGTGGGCGAAAAAATGTTGCGACCAAGTCCCGGAACGATGAGTCCCTGAATCCGCACGCGCAATTGCTGTCCTCGATTGTCCTTGACGGTGCAGTGTAGGATGCCCGTGGCCGTGCCTTTGAGTTGTCTTTCTCCGGCCACGTCCACGATCTTTGGAGAGTTTCGCTGGGTGTAATCGTGGAGGTTTCCGTCGGGGATGAGGCGATTGTCAAACATGGGCTCCGATGCTCCCGTGTCTACCAGCAGGCCTACCCCGGTGGAGCTCGCGGCGAAGTTGCGTCCTGAGATGCGGGAACACGTGCCGAACATGAAGCCGCTGTCAAAGGCGTCCTCGTCCCGGGTGAAGTCGACAACTGCCACTTCATTGTTTGAGTCGTGCTTGTTGGACGCCGACGAGCAGTGAGTGCAGTTGGAGCACGCGGTGAATGCTTTACTTGAGTCCTTGGTGTCTTCCGGGCGCTTTCCTCCTTGCTGGTAGCATTCCTCGTCCGAGTGAGACGTGGTGTTGTGCTTGGAGCACCACTTGGTAGCTCCGGCGGGCTTCGTTTTCTTCTTCGCCCTGTTCTTGATCTTAGGTCAGTTCCTCCTGATGTGCCCCGGCTTGTGGCAGCTGTGGCAGATGATGTCAGACGCGGTCGTTGCCACGGCAAATCCTCGACCAGCTATGCGTCCCTTCCATCCCTTGCGCGATTGTTCGTCCAAGAAGATGTTGCGCATGGTGGATGGCATGTCCAGGACGTTGAAGGTTGGGTCCCCGAACACCATCAGTTTGACGTCCTTGTATTCGTCGGAGAAGCCCTGTACGCAGATGTCCTTGAAGCGGCGGTCGGAGATGGGTTCTCCCATCTTATCCAGCTGGGTGCGAAGTAGGTGCTTCTGGTTGAAGTAGTCGTCGGGATTTTCACCAGGGTTCATGGGGTTGTTCTCCAGCTCCTCCATCTTGGCCCTGATGATTTCGTCCGTTACCCTGTCATAGTTGTTGCAGAGCTCCTCGAAGGCAGCTTGTCCGTCGCCGCTGATGCCAGTGTCGCCTTCGTGCTTCTGTATCGACAAGGCGGCTGGAAGTTTCACCAGGAGGGAAAGAATGGCGTAGAGATCTTCATTTGCCCTTGTGTAGGAGTCGAAGGCCGCTGTGTCTGCGGGATCTGGTTTCCNCGCTCGAGACTCCCGCGCACGTGACCCTTGCTGCTTGTTCACCACAGAGATACCCACTACTGCCGCAAAGGTGGTAACGCGTGTATACGACGTGAACCCTCAGCACCTTGGTGTAGATGACCAAGTTTGCGCGTTTGCTTGTGTTGCCGTTGACCGATGACGGCGTCGCAATCTCCAGAAATCTCCGAAACCAGGTTCTCTCGTTGTCCACGGATGAAGGTTGATGTCCCGAGAAGAGGTTGGCTTGATCTTTCCGTGATGTTCGCAGCTCGTAGTTCGTAGTGTGTGCGTTAGCCGAGGCTCAAAACCTGTCAGAGTATATTTCGCTGTGCACTAGCAGCAGTACGATGCTGCAGATGCCAGGAGGCTGTGTAGCCTACCTCAGAGGTTCACACTCTGTGCGTCTCCAACCNACTCTGTGCGGCTCCAACCGCGAGAGACTTGGAATAGAAATATGAAAATTTTTTACTAATCGGTGACTCCCGAGTCAGATGTTGCTAGTACTGAACAGGAGTGAGAATGGTGGGCGAGCTTAGGGCTGCACCACTCCTCTCGAATACCGGACAAATAAGCCAATCACACGAAAGATCCAGAATGCTTCCAGAATGATTTCTGGAAGCCCTCCTACATTCTCGAAGAGTATCAACTGCAACCTAGATCTAGAACGCTTCCAAAAGCATACAGAAGGAACCAGAAGTTTCCAGAAGGCTTCCAGAAGCTACACACATCCCGGTCAAACTTGACCTAGCATGCTTCCGGAATATTTCTAGAACAAGAGAATACATGCCACGGAGAGATGGATTATTTTCTACTGCTACGCAGACTAGTTGCTGCAATCGTATTCAAAGGTCAAACCGTGTCCGACTACTGGTGGTCTCGACGCACGATTTTCCTGACACCCTGAGGGACTGCAACTGCAGATTGACGCAGCGAAGGATTTTACTGAAGGAGAGATTGTCTGCCAACGTTAAGAAGGGCGCCGTCATGGTATGCAACGAAGACAGTGAGAAACCAGTAGAGTATCGATGGGAGTTGGGGGTCGAGGAGTTCGCAGTTGTGGATCAGTACACGTTTCTCGGAGTAGAGATCGCAAAAGACTGCTCGTGGAATGGACGCATTTCCAAGGTAGCGCGAAGGGCAAAGCACGAGCAGGGAAGTTGGACCTAATACTCTTAAACCGGCACCTCGATACGCGCATCAGATTCACAGTTTTGAAGAGCGTATGGCTGGTAGAGTACGCCGGAGAGGTATGGAAGGAATTAAAAAGAGCTCGAAGCGCAAATGAAAGCAGCGAAAATCATCCTGGGATGTTCCAAGCGCACAAGTAATGCAACGGTCACGGAAAAATGGGGATCAGAACCGTACGATCGGGAAGAGACGCAAGGAAGCTGACATGACAGTATCGCATGTTCGGTATGTGAGATGGCCGAGAGTATCTTCGGAGGCGAAGTGGGCAAGCAAGAAAAGGGGCAGACAACCCACAGCGTGAGTCAACGTTGTAGACGACTTATGGAAGGGGTTCGAAATCGATGAAGGTGATACGCGGGATGCGAAAGGTATAGAGGTATAGAGGGTTCAAGGAAGGAATACATGATGCTTTTGCCGAGTGAGAAGAACACCTAAGCAAAGAGACCAAGGACAAGGAGGCTCTAGTCTAGATGTGTACGGAATATTGAAAGGAGGAATAGGGTTCAAGGAGTATCTACATGGACAAACGGATGCAGGGACAAAGCTGAAGGTCAAATTCAGGACCGGGGACATTGGCCTTCGAGAACGTAGACGAAGGGGAAAGGTAGACGATAAAGACGACAACTTCAAAGTGTGATGGCTGCTCCGAGTGCGAAGACCATGATCGTGTAGTTGCGGAATGTTGGTTGTACCAGATGGAGAGGAAAATGCGTATGACTGAGCTGTAGAAGGAAGATACAGGGAGATGCTTGAGGCATGGAATAGCCAGGAAAAGATGGTAGCTGTACTGAGGTATAGGAAAGTGGGTTGAAAAGGCGGGAAGTGATATCGATAGGATAGATAGATAGATCAGGGAAGACATTTTTGAGCCACCTTTTGGCAAAGCAGGAAGGAACGATTGACTATCGTTGATCGGTCCTGTGAGAACATTGTTCCGTCCTCTCGAGGACGCGTGGTGAATGGTCTAACCGCCAAGGCCTAAGGCATGCAAAACATAAGCGTACGCCCCCCCCCCAACACGCACGAGAACAGCTCTGTCGTGAGTCAATGGTCTCACCGCAATGACATGGAAAACATACGCCCCCCCCACACGAGTACACATTGAGCTTGCGGACGTGAGAACCAACGCATTGTCGTACGAAAAAATGTCTTGTCATGTCATGAATCTGAGTTGGATCGGCTACTCCGAGTGTTCGTCCGGAACACGTTTCCGCAAGGAAGCCGGAGGCCGACCACCCAGTTCGCGCCCCCGTATGCATACGCACCCCGGCGGTACGAATGTGTGCAGAACGCTTCACCGCAAACGAGGTAAGACGCTGGAGACAGTGAGGTGACACTCAAGGTATGACAACGGCGCGCTTTTCGCGGGAAAGAATAATGGAGACGCTGACCGGACAATCACGCCCATCTCCGAACAAACCCGTTGTGCCACAGCACGTGGGCACCAGAGCCCCGTGGTCCTATCATTGACTCCCTCCAACCACCACCGTCCGAATATATCCCGTCGCGGGACGCGGCCGATCGTACTGATGCAGGCAAGTGCTGGTTGCTGCCCCTTGCGTCGGCGGTGGCTGACGAAGGCGCAAACAAGATTTGCTTGCGGTGTGTCATGGTGCGCGTCCCGGCCTGTGTTCGGGCAGGTAGGTGTCGCACGTCGGACCGTTCACGACCGGCGAAAAGCCTGCTGGATTTGCTGCATGCTGTTGTATGAACGTGTCGATGGACGCCACCTTCGAACAACGCCCGAGAGGGTAGTTTTTATGCCCTGGCTTTCTTGCGCCGCCACGGCGAATTGAGACCATGCGCTGTTTTTTCAAGCCAGGCTTGGACAAGACTGCACAGAGCTGGGAGTACTCGAGTCTTCCTTCGTCGGCCGTTCGCCTTGTGTCCTAATCGATCCGCCAGCAGCAAAGCCGACGTGTTTCGCCGTTGTCGACCGGAACGAGAATTCTGCGTCATGGTCACAATACTCTTGTTTTCTGAAGTCCTGAAGGGGCGGAACATCATCCGTTTAGACCACGACAAACGCTTGACACATCAACACCCCTCTGCGAAGGTGTACCGATTCAGGTAAAAGTCAATCGACAGATACCCTGCGAATCGGGTCCTCCTTTACACCTCCCCCCCTCCACCCCCCCCGGCGGTGTTTGCCTTCGGGGTTTGGTTTTCCTCGCTCGGCAACGACGTTGTCAAACAAGCCAATTCACTTCGTGAACTCGGCAACCAGGTTACCGTTTGTTTGTTTTTTACCTCCGTTTTTTTTTTTGGCGGTTACCATAATAATGGTGGTCGAGTAGATCATGTTGTGCGGGGTCGAGAATCCTCACTCCGCGCAAATCGCACCACGTAGTGTTCAAATGGTCAAGCACCCTCGAGGCAGTTACACAGTGCTTACAACTGTCTCAGGAAGTGAAAGCACCAGAAAATAAATTAAGTCATACGCAGCTGTCATCCGTATGCAAGGAAGTAAGCACAAGATGCCAAACACCCTTAGCAGGNCCCCCCCCCCCCCTCCCGAAAACAGCAGTGAGGGTCTAGAGACTACACGCTTAGCCTTGCACAGGCGAGCGGACACTATTATTTTCGGCCGGGGGCGTGCCGTCAGTGACAGTTTAGACTATACCTTTCGGGCCCGTGCGCTCTGCCCCCCGCTCTCGGCAGCACCAAACTCATCATCAGCCCACAGCTAGTTCAAGATAAGACTAGACAGACGATAACCATTGTTAAAATATACTTGTATGCGCAGGTACGTGGTTTTGTTCCACTATTCCAGCCACCACCGTCCAATTTCTGACAAGATTTGTTGCCATCACGCTGATGCACCCAGTCACCAAAACACGACCTTGCGTTCGACTTCCGACGAAACACCCGCAATGGAATGTCACCAACGCACAAAAACTGATGACGGGTGGCCGATAACCTTAAAACTAGCACCCAAGTTTTTGTGTTCGATCTGTACACTGTTTACCGCATGGGGCGCAAGCGTTGGTGCAGTTTTTTTTTCTGGCCCTCCTGAACGAAGCTGGCCGGGGAGTGATCTCCTCCATCTTACGGCAAGGCAGCACGCTGTACCCACCAGCTACAGCACCATTGAAAGACATATGCACCAACTATTCCTCCCTGCGGGGTAGTAACAAGTGGCTATTGGGATCGATCCTGCTGCTTGTGTCCCGCTGTGTCCTCCATGACGCAACAGCACTGGTAATATTGTTGTCTATTGCCTAGACTACACGTGAGGGTGCGCGTTGTTTTGCGGGTTCATGCGATATGCCATGGTTCTCGTGAAAATACTGCTTACCAGTAAACGATTAAGATGCTATGCCCGCGGCCCCCTGCAAATATACGATATTATCGACGGGTGCGTTGTGATGAGCTACCGTAGGGTTGCGGAGATTATGTGGACAACCACCGAGATCCAAGCGCCTTTTTATTTTTTGTGCACCTTGTCGCGTCCATCTTGCGCAGGAAGAGTACGTGAAGCCACGAGAGCTACAAGCCTTGAAAGACACATGGGGAGGAGAGCAGGCCGTGTTGGCGCAACTGCGGAAGCCGTTGCAAGTGGCGTCTGCTGTGACGTTCGCAGTTCGTTCGCCGTCCTTCGATAAGACTGAACGCAAGAAGCTCATGGAGCATGCCCGGGACACGGTGAGGGCCTTCAGAGACAGTTTTCGTACCGTGTCTGACAGATTGCCGTGCAAGTTGTCTACCCAGCATTGACCCTAGCCCATCGTCCTTTCTACAATACATATACCAAAGAACGCCTAGGCTTGGCACTTCGGAATTCCGATTGAATTTAATGTTACCTTTTTCGCACAGAGGCCTAACACCTCTGCCCCGAATAAAATCTCGTTGATTTGTTTCCGCTTGTTGTTCAAGACCCTTTGCTTTGGTGGAACTTTCGGATTTCTCAAAAGCTCGAACAAACGTTATTTCTCCACGCACTTCTTGGCGTTTTCCTCGCGGCGTCTCTTGTAACCATTGCTCCTCCAAAAATGTTCCCATTTCATGTTTGTTGCACACCCCCCCCCTCCCATGGACTAAANTTGCTTTGGTGGAACTTTCGGATTTCTCAAAAGCTCGAACAAACGTTATTTCTCCACGCACTTCTTGGCGTTTTCCTCGCGGCGTCTCTTGTAACCATTGCTCCTCCAAAAATGTTCCCATTTCATGTTTGTTGCACACCCCCCCCCTCCCATGGACTAAACGAGGGCGACGGTAGATCACAATAATATGTTTTAAACATCGTCCTCCCAGGTTCGGGTGTACGACAAATAAAATAAAAACCCAAAGTTTCTGCTGGTACATAGTCCTCGCGCCAGCAACAAGCGCATCAGTTTTCATCATGTCATTCAAGTGCGCACCAGTTTCCATTGCAAAATGGCCTTTCCTTTTTTTGGGGGGGGGTGTTGTGGTGCAGGTGGGGGTGTATGCGTATTTGCTAGGGAGGGGAGGCGTGAGGACAACCGTGCACTCTGCTCTGCACTACGTCCAGGCCATTGAAGACCATGGTGAGTTGAGAGAATTTATGAAGAAGTTTCTCTCAGGTTCTTGAGACTGTCCGAGTAGTTCGACCCGCCTTGTCATATTATCGTGTACGTGCGATATTATTTGATCGCCGATCCGTGTGGAACGCCGATCCCCCCCCCCTTTTTTGCGTTTCTCCTGTGTGATGCGGTGGGGACATGTTTTGTTGTATCCGTACATATACGCGTTGGCAGGCCACATGCCTGATGCCAGCACTGGCGAAGCTGCGCACCAAAGGAACAAGAAGGTCAACCATTCTAACAGCAGCCGCAACGCCGCGGCGCACTACGCGCGCCGGTTCAACATGGACCTCGCCATCGATGCTCTTGCTGAAGAAATTCCGTGGGATGTCACCAGATTCGACCGCAGGTTGAAGAAATATGTAGTGGAGACCGTCAAGGCTGGCTCCGGCTGCTCTGCGGTGCTGCGGTAGTTGGGAAATGTTCTGCCAGGGGGGTTGTCTTCCGCCCCGACGGACGCTCGCGCCGCTAGCACCCCAACGGCTGCTCAACGTGCTGCTCAGTTCCCCGGCGCCGCAACCTGGACAAGCGTGCTGTGGGAGGCCGGGTCGCCTAGGGGTAACGACGCCGGCGGAGGCGGGTGGGAGTCCCGCATTGCCACGGGCCCTCTTCGTCCCGATGAATAGACGTTGATCGGGGCGTACAACACATACTTCAGCTGCGGGCGTGCGGATGGGGGTGCGTTATGCGAAGAAGCGCGCTGTGCCGACTGCTGGCTGAACTCGTCCACGCTTGACGACGAGGACATCGTTTGCGCACGGTTCAAGCACGGCGCTCCTCTCCGGGCAAGTAGCGGCCTTGGCCGGTGGAAAGGGGGCGATGTCAGAGCGTCGACTCGAACGGCACCCGGTGGGCATTGGTGGCTGGGCGAGGGATGTGGAGAGGACGTGGAATTCTTCAAGGAGCAGCCCTTCGACGACGATGTACATGATGGACCCGCTCAGGCGTCGGGCCTTTCGTCGGCACGCATCCTCTATTTCTTCGAACACAGCGGGAACACACGCCAAGGATCCCACGACCGCCCGTTGACATCGTGGGTGCTGGCGTTCGACTACGTCTCCGACGGTGTTGGGAACCAACGTAGTCCCGACCCCGTTACATTGCACCCGGTCTTGGTCCTGCGAGGTAGACGGCGCCGGGTGGCGTTCCCTTCAACCGCAATCAGGCGGCACGTGCACATGTACCATCGCTGTCCAGGGCCCGAGCATCCGCCTGCCGATCGTGAATGGATGTGTGGACCTGGACGATGTGGTCGGAGCGGACGCCAAGTGTGGCGACACAAGTTCAGGCTGGCGTCGCCGGGAGACAGGCCGTGCGACCGCTTTCTCTTGAATGAATTCCACCACAGCATCAACCGAGAGTCTTTTGTCTAGAACTTTATCCCAGGTACATACAGATAAATGCTTGACGTTGAACTAAAGTTTTGTAAACATTTAGGCCGGTTGTGTTCGTAGAGCCCAAATGTGTGCCCAACTTTCCCTGCCCTAAAATGAGAGACTAAAGTAACAACCCCCCAGCGCTCGACGTTCCGACGGCAGGTACAGCGCGGTAACCCTGCGGAGAGAGTGTGCGCTTTGCCACTGGAGACCTACATATTCGATGAGGTTGTTGGGGTAGACGAAATATCAACACGTTGCGGCGAATTGGAAAGAGTTAATAGTCATGTATATGCGCCGGATACACGCCGACACACGCGGAGAGGAGATAGGGTTTTCTTGAGCATTTGGGATGGATGGAGTTGATGGAGCGATGGGGCGCCGGCGTGCAGCGTGTGGGATGTGTGCGAGCGCTCGAGGGAGAGGGGGAGAGGGTTGGGCGGGATCCTCTGCGTCAGCTCAGATGGCAAGATGCCTGGCGTGGCAACGCGCCGCTGCATTCATGAGAGATCTACAGCCTAGACTGACTAGTCTATAAAGTCTAGAATATAGATGTCCCAGGTGCCACAGAGGCAGGGAAGGCGAGATCATCACAACGGTGCACGCAAGTACCTGTCGAAGGGATGGAGCACAGGTCAACATGCACGAGCCGTTAAAATACGCACTATCGAGAGCACTCAACGGCCTTCGCGTCAAACACGACGTTGAAAGCGGGGCACCGTTACGCATGTAGGATACCATCAGGATTNCATCTGCAATTGTCGGAAGGCAAAAATAAATAAAATAAAATAAAATATATGTATACGTGCGCGTGTGTGATGTAGAAAAAGAGACTTGTTGTGTCGTTCCGCAAATAATAATAATATAAAAGGCCTTTTTAGGGCCGTTTTAAACTGACCGACTTTTTGTCAAAATTTTTGAAAGTGT